AGTTACGCATTGCTACCCACCGTCAACAACCAACCACAACCCACCGTCAACAACCAACCATAAACCCACCGTCAACAACCAACCACAACCCACCGTCAACAACCAACCATAACCCACCGTCAACAACCAACCACAACCCACCGACGTCCAAACTCTCCTGAAGTATTACTCAAAGTCACACAAACTCTTCTTGTATTCATGGCGTTTTATCTCACCGTGTATGTCAATGTTTGGTCAAACGGGAGACAGAAGTGGCTTTGGTCATAGTAGCGGTCTTTGATCTCGAGCAGCTCACCAGGACCAGAGTTCGAAGCCCTAAGGGTGTTTTATTATATCCTTCGAGGATTTTTTTAGATAATAATAATAATAATAATAATAATAATAATACAATATTTACCCAATACATTTATCATATAGGTTTGAAATATAATGGACATTAATATAGACCGCACAGACAGACAGACAGACTGAAACAACCCCCCAAATACCAACCTCCACTCCATCACCCCACTAAAATTAAAACACTCAAGAGGGTACACGAAGCTAGGATCTTGCCCCTACCCTCAAACTAATACATTCAGGCAACACGAACCGTAAGATCACAACAAGAAGGCGGAAGTGTTAATACCAACCCAGCCACAAGGGGAGGAAAGCACAAGATTGAGAAGTGATGTGGTCGTCAGGGGGAACACCAGCGATCTAACACAATAAAAATGACCTTTTTTTAATACCTGGCAAGAGGGTAGATTATTCGGTATACCTTAGGAGGGGGGGGTAAGGTGAGGGGGTGGGGGGAGGGGGTGAGGGGTGGGGGGTGGAGAGAGGTGAGGGAGGAGAGTGAGGAGTGAGAGGGAAAGATGTGTAAATATACCTGTATGTCATCTGTACTTTATATATACAGGGTTAGCATTACTGCAGGTGAGATTATCCTTACCTTACGTTCACATAGACGTTAATTAATCACTATTCTTATTTATATAATACCAATTTAACTTTACCTATATTTCAAAAACCTATAATTACTCTTATATCATATCCTGGTATAATTCATATATCGCAGAGAAAAAAGAGATGAGAACAAAAAATAAATAAATAAAATGCAATATTATTTTTTTTTTTACACTGTGGTTACATAATTATTCCTTGCTCAATTATTTTAATATTTCAACCTTGTAAATAATCATGGTAATATATACTGTTTTATATGTTATGTAGGCGTGTAATATATATGTAATATACCTGTATGATATATTAATCTTAAGTGAGTTATATATTATTTAGGTTAGGTTAGGTGTAAGGTAAGTCAACACACCTGGTTTGATTAATTAGAATATTCTTAATTAGGTAAATATTCAGTGTGTTATACTGTTTTGTTGTGTGATAATTTGGTGTCTGTTCTGTCTCTGTCTGTCTGTCTGTCTCTGTCTGTCTGTCTGTCTATCTGTCCTACACATAGCTACATTTTCCTCACCTCTGTCACATATAACCATCCTTCCTCACACACACACACACACACACACACACACACACACACACACACACACACACACACCTGACTTACTACCACCCGGAATAATATACACAACAACCCGGAAACACAAATTAACTGAGGGAAATTTTCTCCTCCACCATAAAGTCCAAGGAAAAAAAAGGAAAAATAAAACAAAAAAAAAACAAAAATAAAACAAAAATAAAAACAAAAATATAACAAAAATAAAACAAAAAATAAAAACAAAAATAAAACAAAAATAAAACAAAAATATAAACAAAAATAAAGCAAAAATAAAAAACAAAAATAAAAAAAAAATAAAACAAAAATAAAACAAAAATAAAACAAAAATAAATAAAAAAAAAGACAGATTTGAGGAAAATAGAAAATGTAAAATTAAATAAATGTATAAATGTAGGTTTTGTTTTACTGTTTCCGTCCACAAAAAAAAAGAAAAATGTTTAAAGAAAAGAAAGAATGAGAGATTTTTTTTTGGTTGTTATTTAAGGAAGTTGTTGTTGTTGTTGTTATTATTATTATTATTATTATTATTATTATTATTATTATTATTAACAAAGTCTTTCCTACAGTTACAGAATATAAGAAAAACTCAATAAAAGGTCAAATAAAAGCAAAACTCAAGCAAACAAAAGCAAGATGGAGGAGGCTGTTATTGTTACTTTATGACGTCATAGCACCAAAAATTAACATACTCTCTCTCTTTACGGGGAAATTGGATCAAATATTTTACAAACAAAAATATTCTGTATAATAATTTGTATCTTTCGTAATCTGGTTGTTAACGGACACAATACAGGAGACTACAGTACAATACAGTGTTTGTTATATTACAGGTGGGTGTATCGGTACAGCATATATGTATTCAGTTTTGTTTATTCATTTTTGAAGTAATTTATGAATAAAATAGAGGGATGAAATGAATATGTAATGTAAAATAAATGGTAGTCAGATATTGGTGAGGTTAGGTTAAGTTAGTTAGTAGGTTAGTGTTAAGGTAGGTTAGTGTTAGTAAGGTTGTTAGGGTAGTTAGGGGTGGGTTAGTGTTAGGGCAGGTTAGTGTTAGGGTAGGTTAGTGTTAGTGTGTTAGTTAGTGGGTAGTGTTAGGCAGGTTAGGGGTGTTAGGGTAGGTTAGTGTTAAGGTAGGTTAGTGTTAGGTAGGTTAGTGTTAGGGGTTGGTTAGTGTTAGGGTAGGTTAGTGTTGTAGGTTAATTGTTAGGGTAGGTTTGTGTGTTAGTAGTGTTAGTGTTAGGTAGGTTAGTGTTAGGTAGGTTAGTGTTTAAGGTAGGTTAGTGTTAGGTTAGGTTAGTGTTAGGGTAGGTTAGTGTTAGGGTAGGTTAGTTTTAGGGTAGGTTAGTGTTAGGGTAGTGTTAGTGTTAGGGTAGGTTAGTGTTAAGGTAGGTTAGTGTTAGGGTAGGTTAGTGTTAGGGTAGGTTAGTGTTAGGGTAGGTTAGTGTTAGGGTAGGCTAGGCAGCACAGTATAGCATTCTTTACACCCTAGCACATAAAGACGAAAATCCCTTCACCTCATAGTCCCCAGCTCAAGGCAACAGCTACGGTCTGATCTATATCATTAACCTGATAACATTTTCCTGATAAGAAATATTAACTTTGATACTTCCACTTGAAGAGTTATGTTCACCAGGTCTGACGAGTGGGGAGAGTGGGGAGAGTGGGGAGAGAGGGGGAGAGAGTGGGAGAGGGAGAGGGAGAGAGGGGGGGAGAGAGAGGGAGAGAGGGGGGGAGAGAGTGGGAGAGAGAGGGGGAGAGGGAGAGGGAGAGGGAAGGGGAGGGAGGGAGAGGGAGAGAGAGGGAGAGAGGGAGGGGAGAGGGAGGGAGGGAAAGGGAGGGAGAGTGAACTAGAGATTAGAGAACAAAGGGAGTAAATACAAAGAGAAAGAGAGAGAGAGAAAGAGAGAGTTTTAAGTCAGGTATTTTGCATGACAGACACTCGTTAATTATGAACCGAGCGAACAGGTAATCGCAAACACCTGAGTCACTAACACTGGCTCCTCCCTTCCTCCCTCCCTCCCTTCCTTCCTCCCTCCATCCTTCTCACCTCCTCCTTCCCCTTTCCCATTCCCCTCCCTCTTTTTGCTTTCTTTTCATCCACTTCCTCTCCTTCCCTACCCCTTCCCCCTCCTCCAACCCCTCCCCCTCCTCCTCCTTCCCTACCCCCTTCCCCCCTCCCTCCTTCCCTACCCCCTTCCTCACCTCACTCCCTCAACAGGCACAAAATAAACACCTCACACCCTATTAAAACCATCTCATTAACGCCCACTTACCTGCCACATGTAAACAGAGAGAATTAACAGGTGAGTAATTACAGGTGAGACCATCAGGTAAGCCACTAATTAACACCTTCTCGTTACCTCACATTTAGGAGCGAAATTCAATAGCCATTATAGCTCAGGTAACAAGTAGCCTCACGCCAGGTAACTCACTAATTGGCTCTATTTCATTGCCTAGTAGTCAACAGATCTAGTGCATCAGGTAAAAGGTGTGTGTAAATAACGTTAATTACCTGTGGCTAATAGGTAATGAAAAATAACAGTCAATAACGGATATGACTAACAGTAATTTAACAGATAACAGGTAAATCAACAGGTAAAAATACTAATTATATTTCCTTTACCTTCCCTCACTCATCCAACAGACAACAGATATCATCCATTAAAAACCCCTATTACAGTCAAACACCAACAGATACCCAACAGAAACAACGGCAAACACCAACAGATTTTCAACAGGTAATAGATAAAACATTCCAACAGGTAAGATACTAATTAACATTGTCTTCTCCTTATCAACAGGTGAGCGGTGTAGTTAACAATACTGGCCATAGCGTTGTCTTCACAGTGGACGAAGAAAACGAAGATCCCACTTTAAACGGGGCGGTGGGCGGCATGGGCGGCGTACCGGGAAGCCTCAACGTGGGTGGCAGTCTCGGGCGTGTTATGGGCGGCGATGGTATGGGCGTGCATGGTCAAGAGGAGATGGGCGGTATTTACTCACACAGAGGAAGGCATCACAAGAACCCGCCTTTAAATATTACTGGTGGACCTCTGTCTTATAGATACAGGGTGAGTGAGTGAGTGAGTGAGTGTGAGAGAGAGAGAGTGAGAGAGAGAGAGAGAGAGAGAGAGAGAGAGAGAGAGAGAGAGAGAGAGAGAGAGAGATTATATATATATGTGTCGTCAAATACTAAAATGAGGAAAGGAAAAATATCGAGTCTTATCATCATCATCATCATCATCATCATCACCATCATCACCATCATCACCATCACCATCACCATCACCATCATCATCAAACAACAAATCAAAAACTTTTCAAAAACTCATAAAACAAATAATTACCTCAACTTTTGCCTCACTATATGACCACCACCAAATATTTATCCACGTCTGGGAGAATATAACTGAACCTTGCCTCACTGGTATTGAGATACGATACTAATTGGTCTTCTAGTTCACCGTGAGGCTGGTGTGTCCTCTAGAGGTCACGCAGTTTATAATAGGCGGTCACTCACTGTTTTGAGGTATTGTAGTCTGTCTGTCTGTCTGTCTGTCTGTCTTTTTAATTAATAATAGTAGTGTTTATGTATATGTGTGTGTGTGTGTGTGTGTGTGTGTGTGTATGTATGTGTAGGTGTGTGTGTGTGTGTATGTGTGTTTGTGTGTATTTTATAGGTAAATTTATATGTATTTTACCCTTTTATATATTTATATGTATATATAATGAGAAATAATTTACTACTAATTAGATTTTTTTTTCAATTTTCTAAGTCGATTTATTTACATTGTTATCAATATATATTAAAACCAGTCCTATACTTTTAACACAGCACAGTACCTTAGGCTAGACACCTTCCTTACTCCTAAATCATTAAATATCACAAACTTCATTGGCAGAGTGAGCGAAGGTTCGTCTGGCGTAGTATATCTATTTAACCTCGACTTTATACAATAGAGGTAACGCCAGATATTGTTGAATGTGTATATTTTGGTGTTGATATTTGGGACAAGACCTGACCTGACCTGACCTCACCTCACATGACCTCACCTGACCTCACCTCACCTGACCTCACCTGACCTCCAGCGTGATGTTGTTGTGTTGTAGTCCTGTTGTTGTTGTGATACCCCCCTTACCCCCCACCCCCCCACACCCCCCACCCCCACCCCCCCCTGGTCTGGTCTGTTAGGAATTTGATTTCCCACGAGGACTACTGATGCTATGTAGCCAGTCTGTCTCTCTGTCTTGTAAAAGCTTAAATACAGATATACAGCAATAATATAATACAGCAGCGATACAGGTAAGACTTGAAGATACACACAGACAACATAGCAGCATCACAGAATTACAGCATCACAGCATTACAGCATCATAGTATAATCACAACATTAATTCACCATCACCACAGCAGCATAGTAGCATCAGAGTACAACCACAGCATTATAACAGCATCAGAGTACAACCACAGCATTATAACAGCATTAGAGTACAACCACAGCATTATAACAGCATCAGAGTACAACCACAGCATTATAGCAGCATCAGAGTACAACCACAGCATTATAACAGCATCAGAGTACAATCACAGCATTATAACAGCATCAGAGTACAACCACAGCATTATAACAGCATCAGAGTACAACCACAGCATTATAACAGCATTAGAGTACAACCACAGCATTATAACAGCATTAGAGTACAATCACAGCATTATAACAGCATCAGAGTACAATCACAGCATTATAACAGCATCAGAGTACAACCACAGCATTATAACAGCATCAGAGTACAATCACAGCATTATAACAGCATCAGAGTACAATCACAGCATTATAACAGCATCAGAGTACAATCACAGCATTATAACAGCATTAGAGTACAACCACAGCATTATAACAGCCTCAGAGTACAACCACAGCATTATAACAGCATCAGAGTACAACCACAGCATTATAACAGCATCAGAGTACAACCACAGCATTATAACAGCATCAGAGTACAACCACAGCATCACTACAGCATCACTACAGCCTACATCTCTTACTACAGGTTGGTCAAGTCCAGCTTCACTTCGGCTCGCAGGACTACATGGGTTCTGAACATACGGTCAACGGCACGGCCTTCCCAGCTGAGGTGAGATATTGTTTGTTTATGTCGTGGGGGGGTGTGGGTGTGGGGGTGTGGGAGGGTGGTGTGGGGAGGGGAGGTGTGGGGGGGAGTGTGGTGGGGATGGGGTGTGTGTGGGGGGGTGGGGAGGAGGGGGGTGTGGGGGGGGTGGGTGGTGGGGGAGTGTGGGGAGGTGTAGAGTGTGGTGGGGACGGGTGTGGGGTGTATGTGTGTGTTTTTATTTTCTTATGTCTACCACTTATGTTCAAGCATTTAATATATTCACCATCCACTCATGTCTGCCACCCCACCATGTCTGCCACCACCATGTCTAACACCACCATGTCTACCACCACCATGTTCACCACTTCATGTCTGCCACTCACCATGTCTGCCACTCACTATGTCTACCACTCATGTCTACCACCTCACCATGTCTACCACTCATGTCTGCCACTCACCATGTCTGCCACTCACCATGTCTACCACTGTCTACCACTCACCATGTCTACCACTCATGTCTGCCACTCATGTCTGCCACTCACCATGTCTACCACTCATGTCTGCCACTCACCATGTCTGCCACTCACCATGTCTGCCACTCACCATGTCTACCACTCATGTCTACCACTCATGTCTACCACTCATGTCTTCCACAGATACAGATCTATGGCTACAATTCTCAGCTGTTCCACAATTTCTCCGATGCTGTGTCCAGAGCTCACGGCATCGTAGCCATATGCATCATGATCCAGGTATGTCTTTATGTCTCAGTAAGTCAGGTATAGCTCCAGGATATGTCTCAATGTCTGTCTTTATGTCTCAGTAAGTCAGATATAGCTCCAGGATATGTCTCAATGTCTGTCTTTATG